ATGAACTGGAGCTAGTTTTGTATCGCCCTAGGTTATGACTGTTATATGATGAATATCATCCAACGTAATCACTGATCCAATGCCTACGAGCTTTTCACATATTGTTCTTGCTGCGTCACTATTGATATTGCTACTGTTACAACTGTTATTGCTATTACCGTTACCGCTGCTACTGTTACCACTGCTATCAAAAGTATCATACTACTGTGCTATTGATCATTTTGCTGCAGATATTTAATCTCCAGATGTGGTTGAATTGACAACTCAATTGCTAATACTTACAAATATTCTTTGGCTCCCCTTGTGTCAAATCTATAAATTTGAACTGAATACTCTACCCTTAAAAACTGTTGCGATCCTCTATACTTGTGGGTTATCAGCCCCTACTTGTGTGAGGCATTTTTCATCTCACATTAGTACCGACTAAATTAGTCGTGTACCGTTATTTCAGATATCAGCTGCCCCGAGCTTGATATACCATACATACCATGATCACAACGGTGTATGTTCTTGAATTGTCGTTTATCAGTGGTTATCATGGTAGTACAAATTAATAATTCATCACCTATTATCCTCATGTGGCATGAATATTATAGATTTAAATAATATTAACTAAATTATCTCAAGAGTTTACTTTAGAAAGAAGATGATATGCATAGTCTTGATGTGGTTCCTCCTCGGTTAAATCCGAGCTCCAACCTCCTTGTCTTCAATCTCTCCTAGGCTTCTCTCATCAGACGTCATTCTCCGGTCGTTTTTGACTAAAGTGGGGAACTTTAAGTGGGGCGATTAGTAACATGTGACTAAAAGTCAGTTTATAGCGGAGAAGAAGAGAGCCGAGAGTGTGACATTTGTAGAGGAAAGGCTACATGGACGAGGATGCTTTAACTATTTGGGTTACCCCAAGGTTGCTCACTCTGGTTATGGAGATGTTTATCTATTAGTCGTTTCATTAGCCTAGTTACCCAGATATTTTAAGAACCAGACAAAAGGTATTCTTCTTGCGTAAATAATCTGCTAGGTGTTGTACATATCTATTCTTTTTATATTCTAGCATGGTAGTTTAACACATAATCCCATTACAATGATCCAATTACACTAATTATTGGCACATATTAAATTTAGGTTATTACAGTAACAAGCAAGGAGGATTACCAAATTCTCAAGAGTAATAATCAAAACGATGAAAACAAGGAGGGTTCAAATTTGTCTTGGGTTAGACCATAGATCGCGGGGGCCTCTTTCTTTGACCTCAAAGGCTCAACGACATTTGGCTAGGTGAGGGGAGCTTCCTGAGTTTTGGAGCTCCAACAACAGTGTCTGTGAGAGAGTTTTATTTGGCTCAAATTGGAATATCCTTCGGAGAAAATGAGGCAGGCTTATATACGGCCCACTAAAATCTACTCATTATGTTTTCTACACACCAATTCGAAACCTCTAGACCACCTGGACCTCTGAGTTGGTTCCGTACCCGCCTCCGGTCCAATTTAGTAGCCTCTGCACTCATCTTGCACCTCAACAAGAGTGCCATATGGAGCTCTGGGGCATCCAGAACTCCCATCCGGAACCTCTGGGCCACACATAGAGCAAAACCTAGGTTAACTTTGCGGCTTTTTACTTATGTCTCTCTCTTTCTTTGGGTTTTCTCTCAAGTTTGGATGTGGGTGTATGATCCCAGAGGATGTTTGTCTCCCACATTTAAGTTCATCACATCCTCTTAATAGTTCAACTTTCTTATAACTCAACCATACGATAAATCGCAAAGATTTAAACACATGATCTTCTTTTCTCGTTTTTGCTTGGGATCTTCAACCACCTTTTATTTTCAACCATCGGACCGATACTTGTTCAAAATAGTGGATACCTCACACGTTCCTGAGGGATTTGGTTGATGAAAATTTGGATTCATATCATGATAACCAAAATTAAAATATACATGACTTATTATATTTGATTACGTATACTTTTAACAATATTTATTGAATATAAGTAGAATAACCGAATGAAAAATATTTTTCCATGCATGGTTGAATGTTGTGGTGGGTCTTTTCCCATGCATGATTTCATGTTGAGGTGTGGGTTATCCCATTTCATAATAGTATCGTGAGTGAGCATGCTTGCATATTGAGATGAATAAGTCAGTGAGGATGATTCTCTTAGGTATGTAGGATAACTTGTAACATCATTAGTCTGCTAATTACTTGTCATTTATGTCAAAATTCACTTAGAAGTTTAGATGTCTTTTCAATGTCCCCATCTCCAAACTGCGCAATTGGACAAAGAGGGAGCAGAATGATGCATCGAGTCATGCGTCATAATCGATTTGATGAAAACATCATTATCTCCAAGTTCTGCAATTGGAAGAAGAGGAAGTAAAATAATGCATCGAGTCTTGTCCATGTGAGAAGTAAACAAATTTGATGAGCACACTCTTACGGTGGTGTTTTGTGTAATACCAAACTCATATGCACCCGGGATAGGTAAAATCCTAGAAATGAAAAATGATTTAAAAAAAAGAATATGATTGTTTTGGCAACAAACACGGTTGAGCGTTCTACGTATGCACAGAGTTTTGTGAAGAAATAGCATTCATGGTGGTTCAGAGAAGAAAGGAAAAACAATGCTCCAATAAGCTTTACAAAACGACCATTCTAGAGCATCATTTTCTTCTTTTTAGAGCAACATAAATTTCATTCATTTTCATGAAAATTCATACGTAGACAGAAAACTCAGCCATGTTTGTTGGCAAACAAATTAAGAATTTTAAATATTTTTTAAATTTTATTGTTCACACCGGTGCATGTGAACTCAGAGAGAAATAATTCAGGTCCACATCACTATCTCTAAATTATGCAATTATATTACCCCTAAAAGAATTGTGTAATAATTAGACAAAGCAAATGCAAAAAGAAAACGGCGAGGAAGCGAAAAGGTCCACACGTCGTGATGAAGGGAAGCAAACAAATCTGGAAAAACTGTGAAGAAATAGCATTCATGGTGGTTCGGAGAAGAAAGGAAAAACAATGCTCCAATAAGCTTTACAAAACGACCATTTTAGAGCATCATTTTCTTCTTTTTAGAGCAACATAAATTTCATTTATCTTCATGAAAATTCATACGTAAATAGAAAACCCAGCCATGTTTGTTGCCAAACAAATTAAGAATTTTTAATATTGTTTGAATTTTATCCTTCACACCGGTGCATGTGAACTCAGAGAGAAATAATTCAGGTCCACATCACTATCTCTAAATTATGCAATTAGATTACCCCCTAAAAAATTGTGTAATAATTAGACAAAGCAAATGTAAAAAGAAAAACTGTGAGGAAGCAAAAAGGTCTACACGTCATGATGAAAGAAGTAAACAAATCTAAAAAAATTGTGGAAAAGGAAAAACAAAATTAAAAGTGGGGCATTCCGAGAATTGAACTCGGGACCTCTCGCACCCTAAGCGAGAATCATACCACTAGACCAAATGCCCTTGTTGCTATATTCTTCCTAACATTTTATTTAAAGTGAAAACACCTGCGATCATCGCTGCTATGCGGCCCCGGTTTCTGCCCCGTCCGACTTCAATCCCCACCTCATTCCTCTCCTCATGTCTCGCCACCGGCGCCGCGCCGCCGCCGCCTCGTCTCCTCCTCCTCGTCCGCCTCAACGCGCCTCGACCTACTTCTTCCACCGCATGCTCGTACGGCTGCGGCAGTAAGGGACGACGTTGTGTTTGCACGGTCTCTCAAATCGCTGGATCTTGGGGTGCGGAGCCCTTTTTCGCCATCCATGGAAGTTTCTTCGCCAGAAACCTGCGGTTCAGGGCGACGGCGATGACGGCGGCTGCTGCCGTGCGAACCGCCGCGCCTAATTCTGCCGAAAGTGGGGAGCAGAGCAGCATTTCCAGCTGTGAGGTAGAGCAGCGTGTCTCTTCTCAACTTCTCTTGGGCTGGAAGGCTGCTCCTAAATAGCAGCGCTCTCTGATGATCCGGTTGACATCCAACCCCTAATGACATTCGCAGAAGCTCATCGATTGGTTTAGTTTTTCAATAATTGATTCCATTTCACATGGCCAAGATTGCAGATCATTTTGTGGTGGATCTTGTCACAGATGGCCATGACATGCCAGGGCAGTTCCAAGAGGTGGACAGTTCATTACCTGAACTAGGTGAGCACATTCCTGGAGGTTGAGTCAACTAGCAGATCTTATTTCTTATTATCCTCTTGTTTCTGCCCCCTCAACCTCTATCCAGCAGAAAATGGGATGCCCGTGCAGTTTATCCTGCCCGGAACAATCGGAACATGGCATCAAAGCACGCTTGCAGAATTTCGATGCGTGGGTCATGGATCATTCTGTAGGTAGCAGGCGGTCCTCCAACAAACACCAATTGCACAGCTCACATTTCTTTTCTTTTGGTTGCTGCCTATCAGTCAACAATGTAGATTGATTCTGATTAATTTTAAACACTCGTGCATATGCTTTGCCACCAATTGTAGGGACATCATCTGCTTGTAAGCTCACTTATTGATGTCTGTTGCACAAACAAGATGAAACAACATGAACTTGTCTTTGACACAAATGGCTACGCCATATAACCATAGCACAAAACTTGCTCCATATTGTTTAGATGATCACCGGCTTTGCTTCCATTGGCCTTTTGATTCTCAACTATAATGGAGTATGCCTGAAGAGCTGAACGGTGTGCAACTTTTCTTCCTTTCTCTTCTCTTCCATGTCCTGAAGAAATATACCATCACTCATTCGCACCATCCATCAACAACATGTCTTGCCATCTAAGATCTACAAGTCTGCCTTCTAGGCCTCATTTTAGTGAGATCAAAGCAGAAGAAGAGTTGCACGGCCTAAAAACACACTTCTGTAGGCAGCCTGCTAGCATCGTCACACTGAGTGATGGTTTGAGGAAGCTTGCACATGTCTACAACTGTGTTGAGGAGATTGTACGCTTGCCAAGGAACCAAGTTGACCTCTGCTTGCCTTAGCAAAAGAAAATGGTGGAGAAAGAACTGGAACAGTCCCTTGTGCTGCTTGATATCTGCAATGCTATGCAAGAGAACTTTGCCGAGTTGAAGATGAGCATCCAAGAGCTGCAACTAGTCCTTAAAAGAGGAGATCATGCCACTGCCAATCTCAAAATTGAGCCTTTCTTCCGTTCAGCAACGAATATGCAAAAGCATTTCAAGAAATACAGCAGCAAAGCTACTCCTGAAGGTCTCAGCCTTGTCAGGCTACTAGTAGAAGCCAGAGAGATAGCTGTGTCCCTACTTGAATGTACATCATACCTCATGCCCAATCAGATTGTCACATCCAATTCTAGCAAATGGCATCTGGTGTCCAAATGGTTCCAGAAAAGAAAGTTGTATGTGAGGAGGATCAGCTACAAGCATTAGAGTGCAGAATTGGAGATCTTGAGAACAGTGTAGGATTTCTGTTCAGGAGATTGATCCAGACTAGGGTTTCTCTCCTGAACATTCTTAGCTCATCCATATGCTTTGCTGCTCTGGCGCCCTGTGAATGGCATCCACCTTTTAAGGGGTTTGCCAACCTTGTGTAAGTCTATCTAGTGTGTATGCTGAGACCACATGCAGATATTACTGGTAGACTAAAAGGAAAAATGCTTTCATCATGTTTATGTTGCCAATGATCCTTTGTATGTACTCCCTCTGTAAATAAATATAAGAGCATTTAGACCACTACTTTAGTGATGTAAACGCTCTTATATTTCTTTACAGAGGGAGTACTTCTTAATTCTGACTCTGGTGAAATGTGATTTTGCTTATTCCTGGCTGAATACTGGTATCCTCAGTATGACAATACTTCTCATCTGTTGTCTGTAGGTTTTAACCGGAGCTATTGTATTTTCACTTGACGCTTTTACCTCATATTTTTCCTGTACTTGCATTAAGCTTATTATTTTGTGATTGATTTGCTTTACATGCATGAGTACATAAGATCCAGGCTATGTGTGTAGGCTCTTAATTAGACTGAATAATAAGAAAGAAGAGAAAACTTGGAAAACTAACAACTGTGCAGGGACCAGACTTAAGCGCATGCTACCTATGACACGGATACTTTGAGTTTCATTGAAGTTTACAATCTTACCATTTATCCATGTTACTTTTAATATGGTCAAAGATGCTGATCCTTTTATGATGGATCTTATTGTAGGTGGATGAAATTTGCCTGCACTACTCCCTGAGGTGTTGAGTTCATGCTTATCTTGAACCCTACGTGGCCCAGATTAGCACTGAACACGTTTTTGGAGGTTTGCGTGTCAACGTTTCTTCTCATTAACTGTGATTCTTGCTCACCACCTTATAGCAGAAAACAACTCTGTACTCGTGCAGTCTGTTTTGTCGGGCATAATTTAAACATCACATACTGGCAATACCAAATAGCAACCTGTCTTCCTGTACTATCTAGTAGTCGTGCAGACCACAGTTTGCCTACATTTGGAACATGTCAAAGGTGCATTATTTAGCACTTAGCAACGCGTGCTGTTTTAAACTAAGATAGACAAGGCATCAACTTGTCTGAGGCTGTGGTGGCCATGTGAGTACATGGGTTCTGCAGAGATAAATATACTTTTTGTCTGTGCCGTATTCTCAAGTTTCACATGTAATTGAGCAACTTTGCCTCTGCTACTGAAGGATCACACCACAGATTCTTACAGAAACAGGTATTAGCTTTTAATATCTGGAATTTCGCAAGCTAGAACCCGCTGCACTGAGACTTATAAGTTAGTTTTTGTAAGTTGCTTATGTTCTAAGCAAGTAAACGTTGCAGCGGAAGAAGTGAAGCATCTATTGATGATTATAATGCATGTGTGGTGGATCATGCTGCAGTCAGCACACATACCAGCACAGCAACAGTGCTGCACGGCAATTGAGGCGAAGGTGCAGCTGTCATAAGTTGAGAAGCAAATTGACAGGCTGTTTGAAGGTAAAGCCATCTGGTCCTTCATCATACATCTCAGTTGCATGACTTGTATTCTAGTTTATTTTGCCTCGGTTTGCTGATCTGGTTTCTGTGTTAAGCTAAGCACTTGCGCAGATGCTTTGCCGCCAATTGTTGAGACTTGGGATGCAGTTAGTGATTCTTGTCTCCTTAACAAGATTGTAATGGATTTAGAGGGTTATGCTACTCCAAAATGATTTGATCCATTGTTGGCAACAAATGGAGCATGGTGCGCAATATTCTTGCTGCCTAATGGGCTTTGCCAGCAAGACTGTTTTGTTTCTTGACTATAAATAGAGTGTGCTGCAGAGGCCTGAGCACCAACAAAGCACATCTGCTCTTCTCTTTCTCTTCCATTTCAAACAGAAACACATCATCACTTCATCCATTAGAAACATGGCTTGCCATCAAAGATCTGCAAGTTTGCCTTCTATTGATCACTCCAGTGAATCCAAAGTAGATGTAGAGCTGCAGCGCCTGAAGTCATGCATCTCTTCACCCTTCGCAACCATCGTCACAATGTGTGGTGGCTACGCAAGGCTTGGAGACATCTACAAGAACATAGAGGAGATCATGGACTTGCCCAGCAACCAAGTTGGCCTCTCCTTTCCCCCAAACAAGAAAATGGTGGAAGAGGAACTGGAACGGTCCCTCGTGCTGATCGATCTCTGCAATTCCATGCAAGAGAATTTAGCAGGGCTGAAGATGAATACTCAGGAGCTGGAACTGGTTCTCAAAAGAGGAGATGATGCGGCTGTTCAGCTCAAGGTCGAGTCTTTCATTCGCCTCGCGAAGCAGGCCCAGAAGCCTTTCAAGAAGATCACAAGCAGCAAAGCTGTTGCTGAGGATTGCAGGCTGGTCAGGGTACTGGCGGAAGCCAGAGAGATGTCTGTCTCTCTACTTGAGTCCATATTGCATCTGTTGCTAAAGCAGTTCACCACCAAAAAAGGAAGCAAATGGTCTCTTGTCCAGAAAAGAAAGGTCGTTTGTGAGGAGGAACAGTTGCAAGTGCTAGAGTGAAGCATGGGAGATCTTGAAAACGGCGCTGAACTTCTGTTCAGGAGATTGATCCAAAGCAGGGTTTCGCTCCTGAACATTCTCAGCTCCTAGACACTCTCAGGCCTTGTTTCTCTAGCATATTGCGACTGGCATCCACTTTTTAAAGGATTCACCGGTCATATAGAACCTTTCTAGCTTGTGTACTGAGTACACTACTAAATGTACATACAAATGATCAGTTGACGAAAGCAGTTTTGTCTATGCCCATAAAATTACTTGTGATCTCACCGATCTTTACAGTGCGATGATTTTGATTTATTTCTATAGCTGAATGTCATGTCGATATGTTCTCTTTCAAGTATACGATGAATGCTAAGGAAGCGAAAAGGAAATTCCTCTTAAGAAAATGGCATGCAGAGTCTAGGTGAAGACTAAATAATTCTGAATTTGTGTGTAATTATTTCTAGCTATAAATTGTAGACATGCACAGTATTTATTTGATCTTACCTTCGAACGGCCATGTTACGTCACACCAATTACAGTTTGCAATCGGCGCCATCATCTTTTGCCTAATGTACTCTTTAACGACCATGAACATGCCAGCTCTAGGCCATGTGGTAGCTGCTCATTATTAGCCTGATCACTAGCATAAGGTGGAAGCACATTATGCCTAGCAGATGTACCAGACTTAATTAAACACATGCGGACATGCCACCAATGATTTAGATCCTCTGAATAGAGGCAATAACCATTATCTCAGCTCATATTCTATTGCACCTGAAGTTATCTCACACCTCTTCATGAGAGTTTCTGTTTCGGTTGGTCAAGAATAATGCTGATCCTTCTGTTCTGCGGCGGATCTTGTTGCAGGTTGATGAAACAAGACAGCGATGCTCCACGAGGTGTTGACTGTTGAGTTCATGCTTATCTAGATGTCGTCTGGATCTATCATGACTGAGCGTGTTTCTGTAGGTTAAGTCAACTCTTTCCTCTCTCTTAACAACTTATGGACACTGTGCCCTAGGGGGTGCACTAGCCATATGAGATGTAATCTGATGTATCCTATGCTTTCATGAATCTTTCTCCCTCGTGCTATGGACAAATCAAACATGACCCCCCGTGCATTTCAGTTTTTTCTCTGGATCAACAGCAATGACAGATAGGAAACATTAATTAGTATCTCCCCATCTAATATTATGAAGTACTCGTGAAGACTGCACATTCTAACAGTTGTTTGTTATCATCTCGGCTGTTAGTAAGTTAAAACAGAAACCTGCAGTATTAAGCAAGATGGACCGGTAATTTATCCAATCAAAGTTGTTCTATATTCTCTTCTCAGTGAAAATAGGGCGCAGTGTCACTTTGTGTCCGAGACAGAAAAAGAGTTTACTTTCTCTATTACTGCACCTAGATTAACGTCCGGGCATTCCTTTTTACTCTCTCAAACAGCGGGAAAATGACAGATAGGAAACACTAAGTAGATACATTTATCTCATTATCTATATTATGAATTACTCGTGAAACAATAATTGAATCTTATTGTAGGTGGATGAAACTTGCCGGTGGTACAACATGAGGTGTCGAGTTCATGTTTATCTTGAAGCTGCCTGGCCCATATTAGCATTGAACACGTTTTTGGAGGTTCTGTGTCTCAATTTTTCCTCTCATGAACTGCGATTCTTGCCCACCACCTTATAGCAGAAAACAACTCTGGGTACTCGTGCAGCATTTTGTCGGACATAATTGAAACATGACAGATTGGCAATACCAAATAGCAACTTGTCTTCCTGTACTGTCACAATGCAGACCACAGTTTGCCTGCCTACCTTTGGAACATGTCAACGTTGCTTGTATAGTATTTAGCAACGCGTGCTCTTTTAAACTAAGATAGATAAGGGTACCAACTTGCGTGAGGCTATAGTGGCCATGTGAGTACATGGGGTCTTCAGAGATAGAGATACTTTCTGCCTGTATATCTATCTGTTGTGCCTTATTCTCAAGTTTCTCATTTAGTTGGCTCCTCTACATCTGCTACTGAAGGATGACACCACAGAAACATGCATTACCTTCTAGTATCAGAATTTTGCAAGCTAGAACCTGTTCCAGTGACGTTTATGAGTTAGTTTTCATAAGTTGCTTATGTTCTAAATGAGTAAATGACGCAACGGAAGAAGCGAAACATCTATTGATGATTCTAATGCATGTGTTGGCGTGGTGGATCATGCTGCAGATATCAGAGACATACCAGGAAAGCAACAGTGCTGCATGGCAATTGAGGCGAAGGTGCAGCTGACATCAGTTGAGAACCAAATTGACAGGCTGTTGGAAGGTAACGTCTTCTGGTCCTTCAACATGCACCTCAGTTGCACGACTTGCATTCTAGTTTATTTTTCTTCTGTTTGCTGATCTGGATTCTCTGTTAAGCTAAGCACTT